GGTTGAACTTTTGTTGTATAATAGACTAGGACATGTGCCATTTGCAAATATGAAGGAGATTAATGAGATACCTGTCAAATTCACACCTACACAACCTTTTCTTTGCCCTATATGCCCAATGGCCAGACAAAGCAAACTAACTTTTCCAGAAAGAACCACTCTTACAACTAAAATCTTTGAAATATTATATGTTGATTTATGGGAACCATATCACATTGCAACTCATGATAGACACAAGTATTTCATCACCTTTGTAGATGATTACAGTAGGTGAACATGGACACATCTGTTGAGTTGTAAGAGCAATACTCTACAAACCATTAAAACTTTCTTTGCTATGGTGAAAACTCAGTTTAACACCTCTGTCAAAACTTAATAACAGACAATGGGGCTGAGTTCATCAATTTGGAAACTACCTCTTTCTTTCAATCTTTGGGAGTCACTCACCAAAGAACCTGCCCATACACACCCCAACAAAATGGGGTAGTGGAGAGAAAAAATAAGTACTTGCTAGAAACAGCAAGAGCACTGTTGTATCAATCAAAACTACTCTTACAGTAAGAGTGCATTCTTACCTCCACTTTCATAATAAACAAATTACCTTCTTCTTCTCTCAAAGGTAAATGCCCTCTTGAGCTACTCTATAAGAAAAAGCCCTCATATTCATATCTCAAGAGTTTTGGTTGTCTATGCTTCCCTACCACACTTAAGACTCATAGGGACAAATTTGAAGCTAGAACTCTGCCTCATGTGTTTGTGGGTTACCCCTTTGGGACAAAGGGCTACAAGGTGTTAAACTTAATGTGATGACCCAAAAGGTCATCTTCTGTTTTAGAACTCAATTTCGTGTTCCGAGGCCTTGAAAACCTCATTTTATCTCGATTTGCGTGCTCAATCCGGGCGTATATCCCGAAAGCTTTTATGTAAAAAATTTGAGGAAATAATAATTTTTGGCCTAAAAGTTGATTTTTATTAACTTCGGTCAACATTTTGGGTAAACGGAACCGGACCCGTATTCTGACGGTCCCGGTTGATCCATAATAAAATATGGGATCTGGACGTATGCCCGAAAATGAATTTCAAGGTCCCTAGCCTAAGAAATAAATTTTTGATGATAATTGTAAAACTGAAATTATAAAGGTTTTAAGAATTTGGTTAATAATTGATCTTGTTGATACCGGGTCTGTATTGTGGTTCCGGAGCCCGGTACAGGTCCGTTATGATATTTAGACCTTATCTGTGAAGTTTGGTGAGAAACGAAACTGATTTGACGTGATTCAGACCTTTGGTTGAGAAAATAGAAGTTTTGAAACTATCTTGAAAATATCATGCAATTTGGTGCTAAATTCGTAGTTCTAGGTGTTATTTTGGCGATTTGATCACGCGAGCAAGTTCGTATGATGTTTTAAGACTTGTGTGCATGATTTGTTTGGAGCCCCGAGGTCTCGGGTGAGTTTCGGATAGGCTACGGAGTGATTTGGACTTAAGAAATTTTGCTTGTATGCTTCAGGTCTGCAGACTTCGCATTTGGGGAAGAAGTTTTGCATTTACGATCAGAAGGGCTGGGAGGGGACCTTCGCAATTGTGAAGCTCAGGATCGCAATTGCGATAAGAACAGGTCGCATTTGCGAACAATTGCTCGCATTTGCGACAGTAGCAGGTCCTGAACATTCTTCGCATTTGCAAAGGGATGTTCGCATTTGCGGGGTTCGCATTTGCTAACCCCTGATAGCAAATGCGATATCTACAAGTGTTCAAAAACGATTTTGGACTGGATTTTTCATTCATTCTCCCATTTTCCAAAACCTAAACCTCAAGAGGCGATTTTTCAATTGCTATTTCATCCCCAAATCATAGGTAAATGATTCTTAACTCATTTCTTCCAATATATTACATCGTCTTACAAGATTTCATCCTAGAATCTAGGGTTTTTCATGGTGGAATTGGGGGTTTTTGGGTAGAACTTAGGAATATTGAAATTTGGAGATTTAGACCTCAAATTGAGGTCGGATTCCAAAATCAATTGTATTTCCGGGCTTGGGGGTGAATGGGTAATCAGGTTTTGGTCCGAATTTCGGGTTTTGACCAAGCAGGGCCAGGGTCGATTTTTGACTTTTTGGGAAAAATGTTGGAAAACTTATACTTATGCACTGGAATTGATTTCTTTAGCGATAAATGATGTTATTAAGTTAATTATGACTAGATACAAGTGGATTGGAGGTGGAATCTATAGAAAAAGCGGTAATTGAGCTTTGAGTTGGCCGCTAGATTGAGGTAAGTGTTATGTCTAACTTTGACTCGAGGAATTAGGGATCCCCGACTTATTTGCTATGTGAAAATCCATGCGTGTGGCGTATAGGTTAAGTGACGAGTACCTATGCGCCGCCAAATTATCTGTTTAACCTGTCCCTTTCCCCGTTCCTAATATATTGTCTTCATGTCTTAACTGCTACATGCTTATTGGTGCTTCCATGTTTAATTGCTTCTTGTTAGATGTTTTTTTATTGAAGGTAGTAATTGTTCCGTAGTCTCATTGTGTTACATTATTGGTTTAAGTTGGTTTATCGGTGTTTCATGGTATATTTTGGTTGGTCTCGTTGTGTAGTAGTAATTGAGTGAAGTTTCATAAGTGTATAGCCTTCTATTTGTTTTGCTTGGAGGCATAAATATTGTGGAGGGTTTTGAGCATAATTGTGAAATACTTGTTCTTATTGTGTGATTGGCACTGATATGGTGGGATCGGGTTGCACGCCGCAACAGGAGGAATAAGGGTAAAATATGATTGTCTGGTGGGATCGGGTTGTGCGTCGCAACATGAATAATAAGGGTGGATTGGTGGGATCGGGTTGCACGCCGCAACTAGAGGAATAAGGGTGATATATATTGAGGAGTAATAAGGGTGGACTGGTGGGATCGAGTTGCACGCCGCAACAGGAGTAATAAGGGTGAATGTTCATATTGTTACTGATTATATGGTGGGATCGGGATGCGTGCCGCATCATTTTATTGGTTATGTATTCTTCTTCTGCTATGATTTATTTCTGTAGTATTGTAGCTCTCTTAAGGATTGGTTATAACTGAGTACTGGCATGATAATTGAGTTCCGTATTTATTTTTGCTGCAAGTTACTGTTCCATTTTGTTCCGCACTTCTTTTTGCTCTATTATATACTGTATGCAAGATTATATTGTAAATACCCCGCCATAGCCTCATCACTACCTCGTCGTGGTTAGGCTCGGAACTTACCAGTACTTAGGGTCGGTTGTACTGATACTGCACTCTGCACCTTCTGTGCAGATTTCGGAGCTGGTAGTGGCTGATCGAGAGGTCGATTGCAGATACTTCATCCAGGAGACCAAGGTAGTCCTGCTAGCGTCCGCAGGCCCTGGTGTCCCCTCCTATATTTCTATTTCCCTGTTTTATTTTCTTTCGAGACAGATGTACTTATTTCAGACCAGTATTTGTATAATTTCTAGTATGTTCGTGGATTATGACACCAATTTCTAGGTGGTAATAGCTTCGGTATTGTTAATAGTATATAGATAACCGGATTATTATGTATTTCCGCATTTATTTCTGTTTGATTTAATTTTGTTAATTTTAACTATAAAATGTAAAAGAAAATGGTGGATAGAACTCTAACGTTGGCTTGCCTAGCGAGTGCGACGTTAGGCGCCATCACAGTCCCGACGGTGGAAAATCCGGGTTGTGACACTTTATCACAAAAGGATCCATGTTTCAAGAGATGTAGTCTTCCATGAGGATGTCTTTCCTTTCACCTTGCTTTCTAAGTCAAACAAAGTTTTTCCTTCATTTCCTCAAGTCAACACAGACTTAGCTTCAGATTTCATTCCTCCCAGAGAAATAGCTTCAAACCCATCAAACCAACATCACAATGTAGTGTCACCTGAACCTTAACATAGGCAGTCTTCACCACAGTCCAGCTCCAACAGGACACAGTTCACAGAGTTCAACCACAATGAACAGATGTCACCTAACAATGAATACCAAGAATCTCCACCCAATACAAATAGTCCAAGTATTGCAAGCCAACAAGAGCATCATTTAGGCCCCACACAAACTAGACCCTATATAACAAACAAAATTCCTACATACCTAAAAGACTATAACTATTCTCTTCCTAAGCTACATGACCTACAGAATCAATCCTCTCCACAGTTTGATTTCTCAAATGATAGTAACTCTTCTCTTTCTTTTGCCACTTATGTACCTAATGCACAATATATCTCTCTTAATGTGTTAAGTTCTGACAGACAACAATTGGTAAGAAATATTTCACATGAATGTGAACCTGCTTCTTTTGAAGAGGCAGCTGTAAGCCCTGCATGTCAGTCATCCATGAATCAAGAGTTTGAGGCTTTGATGGTCAACAATACATGGAGTCTTGTACCATTGCCAGTTGGTAAGAGTGCAACAGGGTTTAAGTGGGTATATAAAATAAAATTTAAGTCTGATGGTAGTATTGGAAGATTTAATGCTAGATTAGTGGTAAAGGGATACACACAGAAAGTAGGGATAGATTACACAGAAACATTCTCACATGTTGTAAAAATGACAACTGTGAGAGCACTAATAGGAACTGCTGTGAAGAAAGGTTGGCAGACGTTTCAATTAGATGTAAATTATGCCTTCCTTCATGGAGATCTACATAAGGAAGTATACATGGAGGTGCCTCAGGGCCTAGTAGTAGACAAGCCAGATTTAGTATGCAAGTTGAATAAGTTATATGGACTCAAGCAAACAAGAAGGCAATGGTATGAGAAATTGAATGCAAGTTTATGTTCCAAAGGATACACACACTCACTGTCGGGCTACTCCTTGTTTCTCAAAAAGAAGGGATCTTTAGTGGTGTTTGTAGCTGTATATGTAGATGATGTTATTGTAACAGGGACCCACCAGGAAGAGATTATTCTTTGAAGAGTTTCCTGCATGAAACTTTCAAGATAAAAGATTTAGGAAGTTTACACTACTTCTTAGGAATGGAAGTACTTTACAAAGAAGATGGAGTGTTGATATCTCAAAGAAAGTTCACTATAGATCTACTGAAAGAGTTTGAATGTGCCCGATATTCCAGCCTAACATCACCTCTTGATCCCTCTACAAAGCTGAAGGTAGATGAAAGTCCATTGTTGATTGACCCTTGCAACTACAGAAAACTGGTAGGTAAGCTGAATTTTTTGATAAATACAAGGCTTGATATATCCTACAGTGTCCAGCACCTTAGTCAATACATGCAGTCGCCCAGAGAAAGTCATCTGAAAGCTGCATATCATGTTTTGAGATATCTAAAGGGTGATCCGAGCCTGGGGATATTCTTTTCCAACAGCAAGGATTATGGAATAAGAGCCTTTTGTGACTCGGATTGGGCAGCATGCCCTGAGACTAGAAAGTCAATCAGTGGCTACATTGTGTTGCTTGGAAACAATCCTATTAGTTGGAAATCAAAGAAACAGTCCACCATATCCTTATCTTCAACTGAAGCAGAGTATAGAGCAGCTAGACAAGTTGTGGGTGAACTAGTTTGGGTGGTTACACTCCTTGAAGAGTTGACTGTACCCATGAATCTTCCCATTTTAGTGTTTTGTGATAGTCAAGCAGCCTTGCAGATAGCCAGAAATCCAGTGTTTCATGAATGCACAAAACACATAGAAGTTGACTGCCATTTTGTTAGAAACAAGCAGCAAGAGGGACTGATCTCTTTACACCATGTGACTCAACGAGCAGCTTGTGGACATTTTCACTAAGTCCTTCTGGAATCAAACATTCAGATCTACTCGGCAAGTTGGCAGTGTATTCCTCCCTTCCAACTTGAGGGGGAGGGGAGGAGGGGGAGGGGGGGAGGGTTATTGAGATTAGTTGTACATTTATCTCTTGTATTTATTTTCTTCCTCTTTTCCTCTTAATTCTTTTCCAGTTGGTTAGTTTTGTTAATAGATATTAGATGTTAGTCGTTGTTAGTTAGTGGACAACTATTGCCAGCTGTCAAGTGAGTGGGCAGGAAAAGTCACGTGTATATATAGGATATTTGGACATTTTTGTAAGGTGGAATATTCAATTACATTTTCCCCAATTATGCTTCTCGAAGCTTCTCACTTCTCTCTTCTCTCTTTGCTGGGATTACTGATTTTCCTCCATTAGAGCTCGTCTAAGCTCAATCTTATCTCTTTCTTTTATGATTTTGTCACCTCGCATTCTAGCTCCGCCCCTGATTATAGTTGCTGCAAAGAAAAATGCAAGCAACTTCATTTAAACACAAGTAAATACGAGCTGCAGTCAGTCATTTAATAACTTTGATTGTCTAAGAAAATAAATATTTAGCTTTATAAGAAACTGAAAGTTGGAGTATTTTTGTTGTTTTATCCCAAACATGATTTCTTTTGAAAATAAAACAGAATAATCAAAACATAAAATAACTCTCTCACAATAATACTACAACAACAGACCCAGTATATCCCAACAGGTGGGATCTGGGGAGAGTAGTCTGTACGCATACCTTACCCCTACCTAATGCAGGTAGAGAGGTTGTTTCCAATAGACCCTCGGCTCAGGAAGGGTAAGAAGAAGAGGAAAGCAAGGAAGGAAGAAAGAAGGAAGAGGAAAAAAAAAGGGAGAGATAAAGGATAAGTAGTACCAAATAATAACAACAGGATTTACAATACTTGAGGCGAACAAAACCACATAATGTAATAAAAATCTAAGAATACGAAGAGACATGCATCTAGTAAGACTATCGGTGAACCTAAAATAAAAGCAAAAGAAGTAAATTTTAGTCCAAACGCCGCCTTTACCTCTGTTTGGATATGTTCTATGGAAATTTGAATCTAAGATGCAAATTCAAATCAAGTTCACTTCAATCTTTATTTTGTAAGTTGAATACTTTAAATGCCAGTTTGAAATCTTGGAAATTTGAAATTCTCTAATAAATGTTCAGATGTCACGAGAAAATAGAGTAAGATATAAAGAGGAGGGACACCAGCTGATTCAAAAGATGAGCCGCCCGATTGACACATTATAAAGGGAAAGGAAGTCTATTTTTGAAGTTATTGCTTGGTGGAGTTGTCTTTTGGACATTTCTCATTAACTTTCATTACTTTGAACTCTCAATATTTCATACAACATGTTCTTACCTTTTTTTTTTTAGAAAAAATTCATACAGAATTGACTAATTTAAATTCGCACTATAAATCTCATTTGGTAAAACATTACCTATCAAAGTTGATTCTATTTCCAACACTCGAATCCAATACCTATAATTAAAGATAGATGGATACATATGGTGATAACGTTTTCTTACCTTATCAATGCGTCATGCTTTCATTCAATAAAAGAACAATACAAATCAATAATCTTTTTATTTGAAAACTATTTGATAAAGGACAATACAAATCAATAATCTTTTTTTCTTAAACTATTTGATCTTAACATTTACATTTTACTCAATGACATAAGAAACATGCAAAATTTTCATCACCACAAATATTTTTCGATAGCTTATAGTATATAACGTATTCAGAAATATTCTTTAATTTGTTAAGTTTGATGTCCAATCTTCGTATAAAATAAGCCGGAGGGAGTATACGTGTATAACTAGGACCAGGGGTGTTCATGGTTCGGTTTGGATCAATTTTTCCCTATAAAAAAAAAAGAATCAAATCAAGTAAGGTGGTTTTTCAAATATTGGAAAAAAAGCAAACCAAACCAATTAGGTCGATTTTTTATCGATTCGATTCATGTCGTTTTTTCGATTTGCGGTTATTTATCGAATTTTTCCTCAAATATGAGACATACATTACCAAACACTTATTACGCGACTACATTTTCAACGTAACACTATCTAACCAAATGCTATTTGAGAAATCCATCATTTATCAATTTATATGTATGATAATTGAATCAAATAGTGATGAATAATTTAAGGACTCAATTAAAAATAGTTTATTTTTAAAAAGAATTAACCCAAATAGCCGTTCACCTAATCGCTTAAGCTAAGGATAGCCAGTGGAGGTATCATATATACATAATTTATGTATTATATGTGTATAATTGCATATAATCAATGTATATGGCTAGAAAAAGTAAACAATGAATATGACCGGCTATTTGTGTAAAGATGCCAATTTTTAAAGTAAAAATTGCACGGGGCGCCCTATTTGGTCGCCCCCATTTAACCTATACCCATTTTTTAAAAAAGTTTTAACTTGTACCCAATTTGTTAACAACTTCAGCCCCCTTTCTCCTCCTCCTTCTGCTCCTCAAATTCAAAAGTGACTTATAATTTTAGCCAGACATTCCCTGATCGAACTTCAATCGGAAAATAAATTCCAGCGAGTCTTCACGCTTGCCGGTTGAATTTATATTTGCTTGTGCTTACGTTATTGTCGCTTTCGTTTTGGAATTATATTCATGATGTTTCGACATTATTCTGTTGGTAATTGAACATATTGCTACAAAAAGAAAACAAAAACTTAATTTCGGCAGTGATTATTTTTAAGTAAAGGATGGAAGGTGTTGAATTGGGTGGAAAGATTCCAAAAAGCACGAAGAAGCAACTAATAACGTGATTTGAAGAGACAAAGTCGCATTTGAATTATGAAAGATTACAAAATAAAAAATTCAGTCAGTTACAAAAATAAAAAAGTTACAACACAAAAACTTCAGCTCTGAGCTGAAGTTTTTATGTTGTAACTGGAATCTTCAGCTCTAGTATGTAATATTAATAGGTGATAAAAAAAATTCAGCTCTAGTATGTAATATTAATAGGTGGTAAAAAAACTTCAGCTCTAGCATGTAATATTAATAGGTGGTAAAATAACTTCAGCTCTAGAGCTGAAGTTTCCCAGTTACAACACAAAAACTTCAGCTCTAGAGCTGAACTTCAGGCCCCGCTACTAGAATGCTGAAGTTTTGCGCGATTGCCTTTGCTACTTCAGCCCCGTATGCTGAAGTTATGCGAAAAAGCGGGTACACTTGTAATTTTTTTTGCAAAGCGGGCACAAGTTAAAATGTGACACAAAAAGCGGGTATAGATGCAAATGATGAAATATATTCTTGTACTTTATCAAAGAAAACCACTAATCAAACTAGAATTTAAAAGCAAAGAACTAGATTATTATAATAGCGATTAACATGTACCATAAATTTTAGAAACTTTTTATAAAATAATAGTTACTTCTATAGTAGGTTTGAATCGATTTTTTTCGGTTATTGTTTTTTATTAAAACCAAATCAAATCAAATTTTATCGATTTTTAAAATTCGAAACTAAAATCAAACTAAACAAAAAAGTATCGATTTTTTTTTATCAGTTTGATTCAATTTTTTGACTTTTTTATTAACACCTCCGACTAGGACCAGGAAGCCCACGTTGCACTATGGAGGCGGAGGCGCGGGGAATTTCTTTGATTATTAATTGTACTTTACACGAAAATTTATATAAGGCATGTTTTAACTACCTTTTATTCCGGAAATTCCTTTCACTTTCCCACTAATATTCGTGGTATGTGTCAGCTTAAACTAAGGGGGAAGGAGAAATGTCAGCCTATTACGACGTCGTTCCACTTTCCACTAACTATCCGTTATAACTTTCCTCTTTTTTTCCTTATCAGTTTCGAATTTCAAAATTTAAAACCCAAGAACCTCCATATATCTGTATAATTAAAACTCCAAAATCCCTTCGAATTCTCAAATCCCAACGTTTCTCTTTAATTTTTCAGACAGCATTTTCTTAAACCCCTTTGTCCCTCTTTACTTCTCTGTCTGTTCTGTACTCCTCAAAACTAAAGTACATTCACCTTATACAAAAACATGGGTGGTTCAGGGAAGTGGATCAATTCATTATTCAGTTCAAAAAAGAACCAATCTAATGATCCTGTAAGTTTGTTAGAATCTCTGACTTGAATTTTTCTTTACTTTGTTTCTATTATTTTTTGAGAAGGGAACCTTGCGTAACCGGTAAAGTTAATGGAAACAGCCCTCTTGCAGAAATGAAAGGTAAGTCTGCGTATAATAGACGCTTGTGGTCCATCCCTTCCTCGGACCCTACACATAGCGGGAGCTTGCTGCACCGAGCTGCACTATTATTTTCTTGAAATTTTTTAATTAGACGTTAACGTTTTGATTGTAGTTCTTATGTTTTATAAGAGTGGTTTAACCTTTTAAAGATTTATACATGTAAAAAATAATAGTACTTTTTGTTATTTGTATCTGCATAGTAGTACTTTTCATTTACTCTCTAGCCGAGGGTCTATCGGAAACCGCCTCTCTGCCCTTGTTGTTGTTGTTGTTATTGTTGTATCTGCATAATTTTGGCTTGCAATGATTTTAATTGGATTAACTTGGTCATTGAGGATTCATATAGCTGACCGAACAATTGTTGTATTTTGGGGGTTTGTATAGGATAAGGGTGGTGTCAAGAGCAGAAAATGGAAGCTGTGGAGGAGTGCTTCTGGTGGAATAGCTATGTCGTCGTCGAAAGGTGTAAAAGGTGGTGGCCATTTGGGAGATTCAGAAGGGTCCGAGTCTTCGTTCATGTCCGACACTACTTTGGCTGCTGCAATGGCTACTGTGGTCAGAGCTCCACATAAAGATTTTATTGTTGTGAAAAAAGAATGGGCTGCTATTCGAATTCAGGCTGCGTTTAGGGGTTTTCTGGTAATTTTTATGTTCTCCCTTTTGCAATTATCTCCATATAAAGTTTTGTTTGTTACTTGGATATGAACATGAAAAGAAAATGTTGCTGAAACAGA